GCTGTGCCACTTAAGTCTGATTGGGAGCAACTTGCCCTGAGAAGAAGGTGTGTGCGGCTCAGGCTGTGCCCGCTCCGCACTCTGTGTTTGGAGGAGGGACTTGTGTTCCCACCTCCATTGTCTTCAGCCCTGCAGTCGCTTCTCAGGTAAGAGCCCTTTGTCCCCAGGAATAAACTGCCACATCAAGTGCCTGTTGGGTGCTTGAGCCCAGTGCTGAGGGAGCAAGAGACCTTGGAGTGGGGGCGTTGGTGCTGAGGGAGCACAGCGCAGGGCTGTGGAGACACTTTCAATACTGGCTACGGCCAAAGAAAATCCTTAACATTGAGAAGGAACGTGGTTGTTCCAGTGCCCCCATGGCAGACTGGCCATTAGGTTCCTGTGCTGCTGGTGTCCCAGGTAGGAATATTAGCCGACTGCCACGTCAACGTCAAACAAGTTCAGCCCTGGTGCCAAGGGGCTTCCCACTAACTTCTCCAGTGCCCAGCTGAGGAACGTGAGTGTCAGGCCGGTTCATGCCACCCATTAGCTTGTCAGGGGTCAAAGTGCCTGGAATCGGGGTGTCCAGGATACCAGCTTGAAGCCAGTTGCCACAGACATCTAATGGCCAGAAGGAGCTGGGAAGTGTCTTGTTCCTCTTCCCCGAAAAGGCATTCACTGGAGGATTTGTCCACTGGTTCTTGTTCAATGTGTTTTTCCCAGAGCCAGTTCCATGGTGCTGAGTGGGATTGCTCAAGCGTTTGTCCCTGTAAATATTTTCTGTGTTTGTAACGTCCTGACGTTCTAACTGCCATTTTTGTATTTCTGTAATAAAGAATTTTTACCCCAGTTTCGCTCAGGAACGCTGGTACTTATTGTTTCAGGAAGGTATTGTCCTCACTGGTAGCTGTGCCCCTGCTCTTCGCCAAGATCCATGTTATACTAACTGCTTGGCCACACTGAATCACCCCAGGCCAAGAGGCCTCAACCCCATCCGCTGCCTCTAGGCAACAGATCTAAACGGGGTCAGTGCCACTTGCCAATATTTGGTGCCTTGTTCTCTTCATAAGAGCAACATGCAAATTATGTCCTCATTGCATCTTTCCTGCAGTGAATTATCCAGCCTGACGCTGGCGTTGTGGAAATGACTGAGGTCACATACAGCCCTGACAGTGACTTCATTGGGCTCTGAAGGGAGTTGAATCCATGTTTAGACAAGTCCTTGGGGCAGAGACCCAGCGTTTGATCGGCCTGGAATGTGTCAAGCACCTCTCTGGTGCTGTAAAATTAACAAAGGGGCAGATGGGGGGGAAAGTTGGGGTGAAATCCCTTGTGGAATGCAGGGGGTGCCCGCAAGGGAAGGGAGCCCATTTGGAGAGGGGGCGAGTACCTTCCTTTATAACACTGGGTCTGCAAAGCCCAAGTTTGTCACAGTGACAGCCCTGGAAATGCTTTTCCCCAGTGACCAATGGGAGAGCAATTCTCCCCTTGAGCAGAGAGCAGCCCCTGGCATGGAGTGAATGCTTTTCAGAGATTTTCAGCATTTTGCACAACTGGCAAAGACCCCTTGACCCCCCCATTCCCCCAAACCCTCCCCATTGGGAGTTAGCCCAGTGCGGTGGGAGGCAGGCATTTGTGTGATTTCTCAAAAAGAAATGGGTGGTTTTCTCAGGGCCCAAAGCTTGAGGGCCAGCCCGAAGCAGAGGGTTTCACTTGACCTTGCCTGGTCTAGACTAGCGGTTCTGACACAACAGTTCAACCACTTCCCCAAATCCGAGCCGCTCCAGCGTGGCTTTAAACGCAGCTGAAAGAACAGCGGTGGCTGGCCAGATAATGCCAGCAAGGTTATCCTGCAGCGTGGGCCCAGCCCGGCCAAATCTGACATGGCCCGAAAGTGAGAGCCTCAGGTCTGGGGTGCCACTAAAGACCTGCCTGCAACTGGCATCCCCCAAGCACTGATCACAGCAGCTTCATGTTTGACTGCCCCAGTGGTCCTCGGGGGGGTTAATCAGCCACTTTCCTATATGCCTCCAGCCCCCCCGAAATGGGCCACTTAACTTGCTGCCTCTGGTTCCTGGCTTATAGCCTCGGTGGATGCAGGGGCCTGTCAGCAGTCTGGGGACGGGCCAGAGCTCAGCTGCTCAGCGAGCTCTCCGGGGCAAAGGGGAAGGGATTTGCTGACGGCGTGTACCACCGAGTGGCTCAAAGATGGCTCCGTTGAGTGTGGGACTGTTTGGGTTCCATTCGTCTGCCTGACTAGCCGTGTGACCTTACAAAAATCCCCGTGCCTCAGTTTCTCCCTGTTTACAGTGGAACGATGCATGCTGCCCAGGAGTGCGGTGCGAGGCTCCATGGTTTGTGCTTTGAGCTGAAAATTGCTGCTCACGCACAGCGGGCGCTGGGGCTGGAAGACCAGCCCTGGTGCACTGCTTTCTCCTAGCCCCCTGGGCTGGCCGCTTGGCTGCTGTGAAAGGCAGGGGAGAGGCGCTGGTGCAGCACCAGAGGTAAAGAGGAGCCGGATGCCAGCAGGGGTCCTGTGACTGTCCTGTCGGAAGTCAGTGGGCGATAGGCAGCGTGTGGTGAGCAGTGATCTGAGTCCGCCCAGGGCGGGGAGCAGCAGAGCGAGGGGGGGAGAGCTAGAAAGCTGAACACGTGCCAGGAGAGATAAGAGTTGTTATCACAGGCCGCTTGCGAGGGGAAATGCCAGCCCGGCCAGCCCCCCGTAGAAATACCGCACCTAGTGCCTGCTCCAGCAGTTCAGCCAGATCGGGGGGTGCAGGGAATGAGCCTGGGGAACCCAGGACAAAGTCTGGGTGGCAGGTTGGGGGTGGAGGAGAGCAGGTGAGGGATGAAAGGTCCAGCTTGTGTCCTTGGTGGTGGGTGAGACCGGCCATAAAGCGACAAGGGCTGAGCTGTGCTGCCAGGCGTGGCAGTGCCCCAGGTGTGCTTTACAAGGGATTGCCTTGGATTTTACTGCCGTTCCTTGCAAGGGCCAAGTGCATCAGATGCCACAGATCAGCTGAGTGACCTTGGACTCTGCCTTTGCTCCTCCCAGCTGTGTCTGTCGGGTCTCTTTAGCTTGGGAGCTCTCCGAGGCAGGGGCTGGCTCCACCCTGTGTGTGAAAGGCCCACCGCAAAGGGGCCCAGATCTTACATAACTAATCATTGTCTAACTACCCAGGCTGCCAGCGCCCCAGGTCTGAGCCCCCCGCTGGCCTTTTTCCTTCTCATGCCCCAGCACGCGTAAGAAAGCTTTTGCTGTCCTGGGTGCGCCTCGTTGAAGCCTCTGTTCCCCGCTGGGCTTCCCTGGGTGTTGCTGGTTGGTTCAGGGATTGCACTCGGAGCCGTTCTGCTGATGCCCAAGGAGGAGCAGGGGCCAGCGTGTGCTGTGCTGGTTCTGCAGGGCTAATAAGAGCCCACAGCTCCTGGCCCCAGCCGTTAGTGTCCAAGTGCACGGGGCGCTGGGCTTGTGGGTAAGGAAGGGACGGTTCATGCAGTCGCTGTGCGTGGAGGCTGGGCCAGACCTGCAGTAGGTAGCCTGGCCACCAGTTCTGCTTTTCCAGGCCACGAGGAGACAGCCACAGGGTCCTACTGGGACGAGCTGGTGCTGAAATCCTCCTGATCACAGCGAATCGCCCCCGCCCAGGCTGAGGTCGCTCTGTCTCCAAGTCACACATTGAAACCTCGGCGCGATGCCTCAGGGTGACAGATGCGAATCCTTCCCCGCACTCACTCGGGCTGAGGTGGCCCGGGGGCACGTATTTCCTGCCAGCGGGGACTGGCGTTCGGGTGGCTTTATCTGGAAAGCAAGATGCACTGGGACCAGCAGTGTCCAGCAGAGAGGTGACACTGACGCGCGGCTGAACCGGGGCATCCGAACCCCACCGGGAGCTTGGTTACAAATGGACATGGATTTTTCCTTGGAAGAGCTGCCCAAGCCCCATAGATTTCCTGCCCCGCACAGGGTGCTGCCATCTGCTACAGGTGGTGGCTTTGGGCGCCCGTGTGACTGCTGGGTGAGATCCGGCCGATGGGGTGACAAATGTGATGGATTTGTTGTGCTCCAATCCCAGAATCCATCATAAGAGGCAACGAACGATCTACACCAGCCGGCATGCTGATTGGCTCGACCTCCCATTGCGTTTGGCTGAACCGTCATGGCTACATTACATACTTCAGTGTGTGGGTCACATCCGCTTCCTGCGTGTGTGTGTGTGTCACCCAGTTCGCCCTGGGCTTTTAACCCAGGCCAGGCCAGAGCTGGAGCACAAGTAGGGCCCAGGAGCCGGCAGGGGCTCGCTGGGAGCCGTATCAGTGGAAGTGAAGTGTTTATTGGAAGACAGTCAAGTGTGGAAAGCTGTGTCTGATTTTCCACTGCCGGGCTCTGGAGAGCGTCTCCGGCACGTCCCGTCTGAGGGACCATTTAAGGAGCTCAGTGTTAGAAAAGCGCCAGGCTCCGTACGTCACATGCCGAGCTCAGGATTCGGAGCCTTGCTTTAGCGTTGCAGGCACTACAGTGAGGTCCTGCCCACTGTATACACGCTCCGTGTGGATCCCGCTATCCTACGATTTCCTCCCTTCGCTCCTGAGCTGTGCCTTTTCCAGGGAATCTGGCCACAGTGCTGGAGGGTGTTCGAACGGTATTTAGCATTTGACAAACACTTACTGCTTAATCTCCACAATCACGTTGATGGGTTCGGGCTATTCCTCGTGGGGAAACTGAGTCACGGAGGGGCGACGTGACGGGCGAGGACAGAGTCGCTTTGGAAATACGTCTGGTCAGAGGTACCCAGACAGGTATGGCCGAGCAGGCTCGCTCTGCCGGAGAGAACACTGGTTGCCAGTGGGGAAATTGAGGCACAGAGGGACGTGGCTCACCCAAGGTTGCAAAGTGAGTCAGTGGCAGAGCTGGGAATAGGACCCAGGAGTCCTGATTCATGGACTCATAGGGCTGGAAGGGACCTCGAGAGGTCTAGTCCAGTCCCCTGCACTCACGGCAGGACTAAGTATTACCGACCATCCCTGACAGGCGTTTCACCAACCTGCTCTTAAAAATCCCCACTGATGGACATTCCACAACCTCCCCAGGCAATTTATTCCAGGCTTAATCACCCTGGGAGTGAGTTAGGAAGTTTTTCCCATCAGAATAGGATCTTGGGAAGAGTGGCGGCAGCAGGGAACGCAGTGTGCGAGGCTGCTACTCTGGGGGCATGGCCCGCGGGGGAGTGACTAAACGAGGAGCGTGCGGAACGCGCTTTCCCAAGCGGTCTCTGGCTCAGGGCGAAGCGGGGACAGGCCGGGGGGCTGGGAAAGGCCATGCAAAAGAGAAAGGGAAAGCATCTGTTTATGCAACAGAATAACCAGGCATTAGGAGCATTTCCTGTTTAGTAAATATAACGCAGGGCAAACAATGGGGCCGCAGGAAAAAACCTTCCGGGAAATCAGCCCGTCTCCTAGCACTGCGCTGGGATGCTCACGTAGCCCCCACGCACTGGGCCACAGGCCTGGTAAGGCCCCCATGTGCCACTGACCAGCCAGGTGCCCTGCAGCCAACCCAAGCGGGTCGAGCGCTTGAGGCGCACGCGGGAGACAGGTGCCCTGGCCTTGTGACCAGCCACAGCCCCTCGTTCCAGCGCCTTCTGCCCCCGTCCCTCCTGCCAGGCACTCAGCAGTGCAGTGTGGCCCTGCGGCTGCTGGCGCCCGGTCCAGGTGTGCTGCAAGGTGTCTCCCTGGCTTGCTGTTTTGCCAGCCCTTCCCCACCCCCACGCTAGCCAAATGGACTAGGCAGTGATTAGCCATCTGTCAGTCGTCTGCTAGCCCCCTTCCCGCCCAGGATTAACGCTGGCTCCACTAGCTGCAGGACCAGCCCCAAACCCAACGCTTGCAAAGCCGCGCCGTGGAGTTAGGCCTCCCGGAGCTGACACCGCGCCCTTGCCCCAGCTGCGAGCTCAGGCACCAGCCGGGACAGGGCCGTGTCGCAGGGTTGCTGGCGGGAGGCCGGACTCCTGAAGCCCCCCTCCCCTCAGTCCCCGCTCACCTGGAGAGAACAGGCTCACCTCGAGGTCCTTTGTCACCCACTGGAGCCCAAAGCCCAGTCCCCACCCTGCTTTGTCAGCGGCCTTTTCTGGGAGTCTGAACTAGTGCGAGACATGGGGGGGGGGCCTGTGGCGGCTCTGCCCTATATGCCCTGGGCAGGGGAGGGGCCTCACACACACATGGGGCGCACATGCCCCTGGCACGGGAGCCACACAGCCCACAACATGTCCAGGACCCACAGTTACAGAACTCTTCAATCAATGTGTGTTTGCCCCCCGATCTCTGAGCTCAGCGGTAGCCCCATTTTACACGGGGGGAGACTGAAGCACAGAGAGGGTGACACGGACGGCCCAGATTCACCCAGCCAGTGAATGGGAGTGCCTGGAATAGAACCCAGGAGTCCTGGCCCCAGTTCCCACCCCTGCTTCGACCCATTAGGCCCCACGCCCGGAGGTGGGCCTAGAACTAGGGCGTTCTGGCTCCACGCCGCCCCCCCCTCTGACTACTCCAGCAGGGGCTTGGCTGCAGGAGGGGGAACCCAGCCGGGAGGAGGGGATGCTCCCAGCCAGCGGGACGAGGGCGTGGCACCTGTCAGCTGGCGGGGAGGCGGTGTGGGGCTGGGCACCAGGGTGAGCCCCCATGTGTCAGACACAAAGCAGGACCTTGTGCTAGGCAGCTCCAAGCTCTGCGTCCCTGGCACCAAGGGAGAACGCAGGGGGACGTGGCTGAGGTGCGGGGGGGGAGGGGAACACACCCCGATTCTCTTTGTGTCTGAGCCCTGCTGCCCCTGACACAGGGCCTTGCCACCAGTCTGGCCTTTGGGTCTCGGTTCCCCAGCCCAGACCTGCAGACGCCTGTCCTTGTATATGCTGGTCAGCACCATGCCACAGCCTGAAAGAGCCGGCTAAGGTGCGCAGGCACTGGCCTGGGACACCACAGCCTGGGCCGGGGGGACGGTAGCCCGGCCCAGCAGGAACGTTCTAGGCTGCACTCTGGGGTTACCCCCCAGCCACAGTCGCATGGTGAGCGGATACTAACTCCAGCTGCCAGGCCAATGCCTGGGGGTGGGGGAAGGGCAGGGGCTGGGTTTGGCAATTGGCCCTGAATACCGGACACCCCCGGCTTCGCCCTGGCCTGGCCTGGCTGGTGCCGTTCCGGGAGGGGCCGGCGATCCTGCCTGGCCAATGGATGTTTGGCTGGGGGAATCAGGGTGCTCTGGGCTGCCCGGCCCACGCCCCTGCAGATGCCAGCCTGCCCTCGACCCCTGGGATCATTGGGGCCCCAGCCACCTTGGGAGCTCCATGGGGCAGCTGGCGACTGGCTGGAGAGGCCCAGACGCTCCCAAGGGCAGCACCCAAGCAGGGGCATGGAGCAGCCTGTGGGTTGGGGGCTCAGACCTGTACAGTGGCTCACCCAGGCTCTCGGTGCCAGTGCCCCCATGCCCTTGTCTGCAGACGCCAGGCTGGCCGTGCTGGGCATGACACTTGGCTGTCCTGCCCCAGGGACCCCGTGAGCCCTGCCAGGCTCTTCCAGGCAGGCTCGCACTGGGGAGGAAAGCGAAAGCTGAAACGCCGGCACGCAGCTGCAGCGCTGGGCGCGAACCCAGCACAGGTCAAGGTCCTGGGGCTCGGGTGCAGTCTTCCCACGGGGCAGGGGCCAGTCAAGGGCTTTCCTGTCTCAGCCGGGACACATCCTGGTACCCCGCCCAGAGCCTCCAGGAGCTGGGCCTGCGAGGAGGTTAGTGAGGGGATGCGTGGGGCCAGCCTGGCTCCCGGCAGCCACACCCAGCAGGTAAGGGGGCGCTGGGCCCCGGGGGATTCTGGGTGACGGGAATGGGGCAGGTGAGGGAATCTGGGAAATTGTGGGTGGGGACTGAATTGGGGGCTGGGTGAGGGACCTACCCAGGGGAGCCTGGCGAATGGGGTGATGGGGGCTCCTGGGTGCAGGGAATGGGGCACTGGGGGCTGTCTCTGCTGTGGGTACAGTCTGAGCCCCCCCCCCACATTCCCTTTGCTGTGCAGCCCCAACCCCCCCCCAAAATTCATTCCTTAGCTCAGCCCTTGGCCCCTCCAGCCCCATCCCCTGCTGCCTGCTTGGAGGGCGGAGGAGGGGGAAAGAAACGGTCCATCCCTCTGCCACTGCCATAGGCCTGGGGCATGGGACCTGGAAGGAGGGGGGGGGTCTGACG